CATGAGCTGCAAGCACATGTTTAGTGGCTCCACAATGATGACAACATCTCAAAGAACCACACGTCCTGTAAAATAGATAACCATTTTTTATGGGAGAATTGCAGGAAAGTAAAGGAAATAAAATTTTAAGAGATATTTTTTGCTGATGAGTCGGTAAATCTTTTTAGATCAATTACTTTCATGTAAAGTGTTCTTGGGTACAGTATAGGGAAAGAGTACTGGGCTTTGTTTTGCATTGCAGAGCTTGCAAACTGCTGCTGCTTATACAGTGATGTAGTATCTGTAAACTATTGGGCCTGGTTCTTTTTTTTTTTTTTTTTAGTCTTCCTAATGAATTGATCCACCTAAGCTTTTTAAGCTGTTTGAATTTATCTGAATTCAAGAAGATTATACTCACTCCTTCATCCTACACATACACACCCTTAAGTCTCTAACTGACAAATTTCTTTCCCATTTCATAGTGGTTATTCTGTAGCACATTATGGAGTATTTGCTTAGCCTGTTAAAAGTGGCTAATACATTGTATTTAAGTAGTATTATTTGGATATTTCCTTAATTGAGTGAGAATTATTGAAATGTTCTGTTTTGTTGCTTATGTCTCAGCTGGGCCTAATTCACAAACACGGACCGAGTTTTTTGAGTACGTGACTGTGACAGACAGTAGAAAATGAAAATTCATTTAACATTACTTTTTAAAAAATTGTTAGATTCTGTCCTATTTTAGAAAGCAAAATAGTGAAAACACAGAACTTCTAGGAAGCCATGTAGGTGATTTAGTATATGGTTTGGCAGGGTGCAAGGAAAATGGAAATTTGCAAACATCACACTATGGCTGCCCTGTTGCCTGATGTTTATAACAAGCAACTAATTTTATCATTTAATGGTTGGAAATATTTGTCATCCTGAATCGGAATAAAACCCCAAACCTTAATTATTTTTGCAGAAGGAAATTACACTGTTTCTTTTTAGAAATACTGTAGTAGGAACATTTTGGTGTTTCTGAAATGAAATATGCTCCCTGGGCTCCCAGATTCCCCAAGAGCCTGGAAGCCCTCAGAGCCCTGGCTCTGAGCCAAGCAGGCTGCTGAGCAGCCGGGAGCCTGGGAGTCCAGCTACACTCCAGCCTACCAGACAGTTTGCTGAGCAACCCCCAGGAGTCCTGTCTGTGTGGCAACCTGCCAGGTGAACTGCTGAGGCAGAGCTGGCAAGATGACAGGAAACCAGACAGGTTCCTGTGGGACAATTTGATTTTGCAGAATCAGCATTTTTTGATGGAAACATTTCCAACCAGCTCTATTACAAGCGTTCCAGAGGGCAGAGATAAGTGTGCTATAAAAAATTGCTGTATGCCTTTGGTTCCAGAAATCAAAGGACTTTCTTTTAAAATAGAGTATAACATTATTTTAAAAAGCAAGTTTTCCACTTATTGATCTGCAAAGTGACCATTTTAGGTGCTTTTTAATTATACAACATTTTAAATCATCCTTGTGTCTTATTCCTTGTTGTTTTCCCTTCTTCTTGCCACTATGTGCTTTGCCTTTTGCCTGAAGGGTGAATGTCTCCTTTGACCATTGCTGTTCTGTTGGATGGTTGACCACTGAAATTAAACTAATAATGTGATGGCATTTTTGACCCTAGGAAAGGATATTGTTACTTCTATTTGCAGCCTCCACTAGCTAAGGAAGTTTGATATCTTACATGAAAATATAACTTACTGCTGTCACTAACAGTACTACACACATGAGTTGTCTGAGGCCAGTAGTGATCAATTGTGAATTTTCAAGGCTGGTTTCTTATCAGAATTAAAATTTATTGTGCTAGGAGGTGTAATATTGTACAACTTTTCCATGTATTTCTGTCCTGAAAATGATTTAAAAACCAAAAATGAAGCTCACTGTTACAGTGGCTCCAATTCAAGTCACTACATAATTAATCAAGCAGATATAAAACCAGTCATCTAGTTTTATTTTACTTGAGGATTGAACCAAAAAGTGTTCCCTTCTGGTTCCCTTCACAGTAAATTTAAACTTCTTAATCTTGGGGAAAAAAAAATATCAGACTTTAGGTTAGTTTAGTTTTTGTTGTGGGAAATAGGATCATTGTGTGTTTGTCTCTTCAGTTTATGTTCCTGAGGAGGAGTGGGCCACATTATTGTGTATGTGCAATAGCCCATTTTTCAAATGTTAATTCAGCCACTTACATAATAAAGTTTCAATAACAGATGTGATTGTCCATTTTGTTTACTAGTGGTAGACCATGCTATTTTTTTAACATGCTCTAGTATTCCAGCTCTGAAGTCTTTGATACAAATTCTGTATTGGTGAACCAGATGAGTAGTCTTAGCACAGTCTACTTTCATGCATATCACCAAACCATACCACAGTTTTGACATAATTTGCAGTATCTGCTTAAGACACGCACAGTTGGAAAAACAAACTGCTGTGTGTCAGTATTAATGTGCAACAGCAGAAGTTCTTCAGATATTGCAGAGATGCACTAGAGAGAAGAGAACTAGAATAGCTGGAGGTCTGCAGGTCATGATTTAAAGTGTATGGGATGAGCTGTGTAGAACCAAAATAAAATTCTCATTGAGAGGCCATCTATCCTCTATTTTAACAGTTTATGTAATACAATGATCAGTCTCTCTAAGCATGTTTATGAATACAATATTGAAAAAAAAAAAACCCTCTCCAAATGACCCCTACCAACCAAAATTGTAAAGTCTCCCTGTACAATTAGCCTTCTTAGAAAGAGCCTCACATTATGCCCTGAAGATCAACAAACTTGATCTCTGTCAGATCAAGAGAGGAAACATATTGCAAAGTCATGAGCCTTCCCTTGAGAAGACCCTGCTTCAAGTGATGGCTGATCTCAACTGCTAGGATTCAGCGTGTGAAGAGAAATGATCTCTTAAGTAAGCAGGACACATCATCGAGGTCTTTCTATAGCAAAGGTAGCACAATTAATTGTTTGCAGAGATGAATTGGAACAAACACAATCTCTGGAGCGAGCATAGATATAATGTGCTTTTGCATGCAAAATTCAAAGTAGCCAAACAGTCAGATATCTGGGCTTTCCCAATGTTTTTCTGGTATATTCCACGTAGTAATCTGTTCTGAAGATAGCAAAGGTATGGGTGACTGAGGAAGTTTGCAACTGAAAGGAAAGGTTACAACCACCTGCCCCTGCATCGATTGCAGGGTGTAGGAGAGAATCACTCTCTGCCACTGCTGCTGATGGAATATTCGGAAGCAGCTGAGGATCCAGGAGCACTCCTGGCCTATGTCATTAGTTGATGATGAAAGATATTCATAGTGTCTGATCAGGCAGCTTATAGCACTCACACTCTCCCTCACCTTTCTTATCCAGCTGTCATTGACCTCTGGTCTCCCCTATTCTTAACAAACCATCCCTTGACTCCCGATGCCTTTCTATCTACTATTATATTTCTATACTTCCCCTCATCTACAAAATAGTTGAATGTGCATTCTGTAATCAATGCATTGATTTCCTCTCCTGCAACTCTGTTTTGGATCCCTTCCAGTCTGGGATCTGGAATTTTCACTCTACTGAAATTGCTCTTTTTGGTTTCTAATGACCCCCTCCTGGCCAAATTTCAGGGCCTCTACTCTATACGTAGGCTTGGCAGAATTCCATTTTTATTTTTTATAATTTGGATGGATAATATCAGTTTATTTTAAGCATTTTTATTTAAATTCACAACTGAAGGAAATCTTGGGGGGGGGGGATCAATTATTTAATGACACTCTGATAAGCTCTCAAGCATTGTTTTTCTTACTTTGCCTATCTGTAAATTTAAAATATTATTGATGGAAATATATTTGTGTGTGTGTGTGTATACGATGAAATCAGTGTTTACTGACGTTTACCAGTAAAAATCTAATCCTTCCAAACCTATCTATAGTTTCTTCCTTCACCTCTCTGCTGCTTTTGATCCTTCTTGAAATCTTATCCTTTCTGGATGAATGGACTATAAGGTGGATAGAAAGTTGGCTAGATTGTCGGGCTCAACGGGTAGTTATCAATGGCTCCATGTCTAGTTGGCAGCCGGTATCAAGTGGAGTGCCCCAAGGGTCGGTCCTGGGGCCGGTTTTGTTCAATATCTTCATAAATGATCTGGAGGATGGTGTGGATTGCACTCTCAGCAAATTTGCGGATGATACTAAACTGGGAGGAGTGGTAGATACGCTGGAGGGGAGGGATAGGATACAGAAGGACCTAGACAAATTGGAGGATTGGGCCAAAAGAAATCTGATGAGGTTCAATAAGGATAAGTGCAGGGTCCTGCACTTAGGACGGAAGAACCCAATGCACAGCTACAGACTAGGGACGGAATGGCTAGGCAGCAGTTCTGCGGAAAAGGACCTAGGGGTGACAGTGGACGAGAAGCTGGATATGAGTCAGCAGTGTGCCCTTGTTGCCAAGAAGGCCAATGGCATTTTGGGATGTATAAGTAGGGGCATAGCGAGCAGATCGAGGGACGTGATCGTTCCCCTCTATTCGACATTGGTGAGGCCTCATCTGGAGTACTGTGTCCAGTTTTGGGCCCCACACTTCAAGAAGGATGTGGATAAATTGGAGAGAGTCCAGCGAAGGGCAACAAAAATGATTAGGGGTCTGGAACACATGAGTTATGAGGAGAGGCTGAGGGAGCTGGGATTGTTTAGCCTGCAGAAGAGAAGAATGAGGGGGGATTTGATAGCTGCTTTCAACTACCTGAAAGGGGGTTCCAAAGAGGATGGCTCTAGACTGTTCTCAATGGTATCAGATGACAGAACGAGGAGTAATGGTCTCAAGCTGCAGTGGGGGAGGTTTAGATTGGATATTAGGAAAAACTTTTTCACTAAGAGGGTGGTGAAACACTGGAATGCGTTACCTAGGGAGGTGGTAGAATCTCCTTCCTTAGAGGTTTTTAAGGTCAGGCTTGACAAAGCCCTGGCTGGGATGATTTAACTGGGAATTGGTCCTGCTTTGAGCAGGGGGTTGGACTAGATGACCTTCTGGGGTCCCTTCCAACCCTTATATTCTATGATTCTATGATTCTATGGGCTTTCCGGATACTGTCCTCTGCTGGATTTCTTCCTACCTCTGGACTTCTTCAGCATCTCCTTCCGTGGAGCCACTTCCTCCCCACTCCCCCTCTTTGTTGAGATTTCCTAGGGCTGTGTCCTTGGCCTTTTACTGTTTTCACTTTACACTTCATCTCTTGGTGATCTCATCAGCTCAAATGGCTTCAGCTGTGATTTCCGTGCTGATGACTCACAAAGCTATCTCTCCGCCACCAGGTAGTTTTCTTCCATCCTGTCCCACCTCCCTTTCTGTCTCTCTGATATCTCCTCTTGAATATCTTGTCATCTTAAATTGAACATGGCCGAAACTGAACTCTTTCTCTTACCAAACCTCCTCCCCTGCCCTATACATCTAATCCATTCCAGTCCATCTGCTTCTTCCTCAACACATCCAAGATCTTCTCTCCACCACCACAGCCTTAACTCTTGTTCAGAACTTCAGCATTGTTCCACCTTGATTACTGCAACATTCTCCTCTCTGCATTCCCAAATAATACATCGTTCCCAGTCAGTCCATACAATTGCTGCCACTTCCTTGGCTGCTGTTTTGATCATGTAAGTCCCTTTTTTTAATCTCTCCATTTGCTTCCCATCTGATATCAAGGTAAACTTCTTGTTACTATTGCCAAAGCTCTACATAACTGTCCATTCCTGATTTACTCTCTTTGTCAAGCTGTGTGTTGTCACCTTGTCCTCTCTGCTCTTCCGACGTTCCCAGCCTAGTGTGCCCATTTGTCATATTTTTGCACAGTCTCCTCCATGGCTTCTTGCATGCAGTCCCCTATGTATGGTGTGACTTCCCTGATCTCATCCACCAGGCCCCTACTTGTTAGTCTGTTTTAAAGACCCATTTCTAACCTGCTGCCTATAGTGAATTATATTGATTATGGTATTACTTGTATATAAGCTGACTGTTTTTGTTCCTTTTGCCCTGACTACCTCAGATCGGGGACTGTCCTTAAGTATTTGCTAAAATGCCTAACACATAATAGTGCTACCGCAAATAGATCATTTGCCTATAAAATTATATCTATGCTACAGAATTCTATATTATGTTCTTTAGGATGCTTAAAACTTACAGAAAAGTTGCCAGTTTTTATTAAATACTGTAGGATTTTCCCAGTAAGTTAAATTTATTGTGATTTATTAGAGATGTGAGAAAATATTAAATGAGCCAAGTGAAACCCTGTGTTGTTAGGAATGTTGCTGAAGAATATTATCCAGGCTGCTAAGCTGTTACAACTGCTCAGTACTTCTATTCTTGGAGCTCCTGTGTTATTAGCACTAGCAGAGAATGCAGCCCACTAATTCAGCAGACCTTGATGTTACTCATAAAAAAAGACCACAGGTACAGTTCAGTTCAAGGCACTCAGCCAGGTTTATTGCCCTCAAGGCACAGTACTAGCACCCTGGCTCCGTGATTACAGGTATGCTAACATATGAGTGCCCAGTGGCAAGGAGTGACTCAGTCAGCAGCAGACTTTCTGCTTTCTCCTAGGCCACACAAAGGGTTAAGGTGAGGTACCCCAACATCTATAGACTGAAACAAAAAATTAACACGTTATGTTTTTCATGACATCTACTTGTTACCTCCCCTTCTACCTTGCTCCAGATGTCTCAGGCAAAACATCCCTATGCATCACTTCTGACATACCCTCTTATCTGGTGTTAGGTCAGGATGAATCTGGGCTAATCTTCTGGAATATGTTCACACACATACTGTGTATCTGTTGTTTCTTAGCAGTGTCTCTGTTTTAGCCATGCTAGCAGTGCCCTTGCGAAGTTCATGTGTCAGACAGTGAACTTGTAAGCATCTGCTTTAATAGATGGCCTGATGTTGGTTATTGGCATGGCCTGACTTTGCTGACTATGGTTTAGGCCTTAGGTCTTCCTCCAGGCCCAGTGTTCCAGGCTCTCTCTCTCTCTCCTACACTCTACTGTAATGCAACTGAAATTAGTGAGTGTTACAAAGGAGCAAAATATTCTGAAGACCTGTACATAAAATTAACACACAACTAAAATGGCTCATGTTTTCATTTTGCTAATCCAGGGATGGAACGTGTGCAAAGCGCTTCAGTTCCTTTAATACTGTCTTTCCTCTCATACTGTCATACCTTGGTAACATCTTTGACTCTCTTCTTCCTCTCCATAATCTCTATACTTACATACCCCAGTATATAGTCTTTCAGACAGAGATATAGCAGGACAGAATAGACGTAATTATTCAAACATATATTGTAAATCAGTGGTTCTCAAACTTTTTACTGGTGACCCCTTTCACATAGCAAGCCTCTGAGTGCGACCCCCTTCCCCTTTATAAATTAAAAGCACTTTTTTATATATTTAACACTATTATAAAAGCGAGGTTTGGGGTGGAGGCTGACAGCTCGCGACCCCTGAAGGGTCCCGACCCCCACTTTGAGAACCCCTGTTGTAAATAGAGCTGGTCAAATAACAGATTTTTTTGAGTGTCAGAGTGGTAGCCGTGTTAGTCTGTATCAGCAAAAACAACGAGGAGTCCTTGTGGCACCTTAGAGACTAACAAATTTATTTGGGCATACGCTTTCGTGGGCTAAAACCCACTTCATCAGATGCATGAAGTGAAAAATACAGAAAGCAGTATAAATATTACAGCACATGAAAAGATGGGAGTTGGCTTACCAAGTGGGGGATCAGTGCTAACGAGGCTAATTCAATTAAGGTGAAAGTGGCCTATTCTCAACAGTTCACAAGAAGGGGTGAATATCAAAGAAGGAAAATTACTTTTGTAGTGCTAATAAGGCCAATGCAATCAAGGTGGACGTCACCAATTTCCAACAGTTGACAAGAAGGTGTGAGTATCAGCAGAGGGGAAAATTACTTTTTGTAGTGACCCATCCACTCCCAGTCTTTATTCAGGCCTAATCTGATGGTGTCCAGTTTGCAAATTAATTCCAGTTCTGCAGATTTTTTCGGTTTGCTGGAAGTTCCAAAAAATCAGAAAAAAACCTTGTGTTGAACCAAAAGCGAAAATTCCTAATAGTTTTGGTGAATTAAAAAAGTCAACACATTTTACTTTTGGTCAAACAAAATATTTGTTTACCCAAAATGAAATTTTTCATTTTGTGTCTGGGCATTTTTAAAATAAAAACAAAGGAAATAAGGGGCTAGATTCACAAAACTGCTAGAGGCAAAGGTGGAGTTGTGAGGAGGAGAAGGAAGCCGGGTGGGTGGTGATCATGGCTTCCTTATAACCTTTATCTCAGTGGTAGGGCACTTTCCTGCATCATGGGAGACCCAAGTTGAGATCCCTGCTCCACATCCGGCAGAAGGGGGAATTGAACTGTGATTTCCCACTTCCCAGGTGAGTGCCCTATAAAAAGTTTATGCAAAAAATATGGCTTAGTGCTAACTGTAAAGATTATTTTCTCTTTTGCTAAAGTTCTCTAATCTAAATCTATTTTATAATCCTGAACTCGGGGTGTACACTATAGACCCCTTCAAGAAAAAAGATAAAATAAAACAAAGATAGAAAATGTGAGGGAAGATATGAGTGCATATAATTAAATTACTATAGGTATTTTGTGTAGGGACAGAAATTCTCTCTTCCAACTACTCCTTTTACTGCAACGGTAGATTTCCCCTTTAAGGCCACAATTCAGCAAATCACTTAAGAATGTGCATGAGTCCTATTGACATCAATAGGACAAACACATGTTTAGGTGCTGTCCTGAATAGGGATGCTTCCTTTAACTGGAGCCTAAATCAGTCAGCCAAAGGAGAAGCATCTGCTGTCCAGTCACTTAGGGCTTGTTTATATGAACACTTACTTCAGGGCAAGCTGGGGTGAAAATCTACTTTTTACAAACCTGCTGCCATTCACAAAATATTTCATAATATGCTTTGATTTGTCCCACTTTGAAATAGAAGTAGATTCAAGCGCACTACAGAACTTTTAGCACATGGCGGCAAGGTTCATGTGGACAGTTAGTGCAGAGCAGGATAGGTTTACATCCCAGTTTTCTGTGAAATTAGTGTTCATATGGACAAGCCCTTAGTTCGACCCTTTTGTTCATACATTTCGTACATTGTAACCTGTTTAGTGTGATCATGTCACACAGAATGCATTAAACTTGCATGTAGTTGAAATGCCATTTCAGCTTCTCTAGGAAAATAGGGTAGGCATTGGCATTAGAAACAGAAGTTCACATGCTACCCCAAAAAATCAGAAAATAGAAAAAGACCTCTCCCATAGACTCACTTGTGGGGATTTGTGTTAACAACTACAGCTGTAGTTGTCATCAGAATGGAAAAGCAAATATTGTATTTGTGATATAATATGTTCCACTGTACAAACAATGGCTGGAATTGATCAGACACTTGGCAAAGATTCAAAATATCCAGGTACTGTTTATCCAGAGACTAAAGCTGTCTAAGATCAAAATGCAACTGAAAAAGAAAAGTTGAATTCCTTATAAATAATAGGAAAATATTCTTAGTCTGATGGATAATTTAGTATATATTTTTAATAGCTAAAGTCCATTACTCTTGGTCGTGATGAAACACACAGGTAATTGATAATAATAAAAGGTTTTTATTGCAGATTGTGTATGTTTATGCTCCACTATATTAGAATATGAAAACTGGTCTTGTGGAGACTTCAGAGTTTTGTATGAAAAAATTAAGATGAATATATTTAATTTTATGTTCCTCTTCTGAAAATGTTGGGAACTGCTGTTTTTGTGGTGCTTTCTACTGCACTTTTTCAGCAGCTGGATTTCTGCTTATCCATACTTCAGGAAGGGCTGAACAAAAAAATAAAAATCTCTTCAGATCATACTTGGTGTCTGCCAAGATTTTAGCAAAGCATATGAAACTCCCCTCCATGGAAAATGTACATTTTCCCTACATAAGTCTTGGGCTGGGATCATTTGTATAACGAAGAGAATCAAACTCATTCAAACACACAGCAAAATCCTCCCAGACATACAGATTTAGGGCCCTGTTCAGAAAGATCAGTTAAGCATATACTGAAATCTATACCTATTCAGGACAACCCTTAGCACATTCTTAACTTTAAGCATATACTTAAGTGTTGCCTTGAATAGGGATGCTTTCTTGAATCAGTGTCTAGATCTGCTGCTGTCACTCCTTTTATTTCTTGCTTTTTCAGATATACTGCTGCCATGTGAATCTAGCCTTCTAGAAAAGTTCTCCAGCCAAACAACAGCAGCAGCAAAGATATGAATTCACCCTGCCCCATTCTAGTTCTATTCTGTATAAGTTTTTGTATTACATTCATCACCATAGTACATTAAACATGACTGCACATCTTTCATGTGTGATGTGTTCTTCTCATCCTCTCCCAGAGAGAGAAGCAAATGGAGTGTCTTGTTTTGGTAGGGGTGGGTTTTTTGGTTAAATGTACCTGTTGTCTTGTGTTTATATTAGAGAAGGCAAGGAAATGTACCTTCCACTTGGAGCAGAATGTGGTGATGTTTCTGAGAGCTCTTAGTTGCTGGGAGAATTCATTCCACAGTCTCAGACCACTTCCAGAGAAGATCCTCCCCCCCACCCCCCCAGACAAGCTTTACTCTTGTTGTTGAGAGTTCCATTGTGCCAGAGTTCCATGGTTGACCACAGCCTTTGTCCCAGAGCTTTAAACGGTCTATGGGAAACCAGCGTAGGAAATGGAGGACAGGTGTGATGTGCTCACGGTAGCCTGTGTTGCTGAGGAGAGACTCTGCAGCTTTTTGTACTAGTCAGAGTTTCCTAAGCACTGAAGGTTTCATGCCCTGGTATATCACATTGCTGTCGTCTAACCAAGAGGTGATTGGCATGAATAACTGAGGGCAGGTCTTCATCTGCCAGTATAGGAAAGAGTTTTCTAGTCAAGCGGAGGTGGTAGAAGGCATTACTCATGGCTGTTGTGAGAGCTTATCACATGTCTATGACATGTGAACTCTTCTTCCCTGGAACTCTGTCGATGCTGGATACTTTAGTCCAAGCTGTCTCTGATCCCTGAGCAAGTTCATAGAAAAACTAGCCAAAGGCCAACTAAAAGTTCATCTAACTGAAACCAATATACTAGACCCAGCACAATCTGGATTTAGGCCAGGACCCAGAATTGAAATGGCTTTAGCAGCACTGATGGATGGTGTCCTCCAGGCAATGGATAGAAGACAAACATCTATTCTCATCCTACAGGATCTCTCTGCAGTGTGTGACACTGTTTACCATGATATACTGCTGTCTTTCCTGAGAGGTGGGAGGAGTCCAGAGTCATGTCCTAAATGGTTTGAGTCCTTCCTGGAGGGATGCACCCAAAGAGTAGTGATGGGAAACTGCACATCCACCACTAGACCCCTCATCTGTGAGTTCCACAAAGATCAGTTCTCTCTCGGTCCTTTTCAACATCTACATGCAGCCAGTAGGTGAATTGGTCAGATACAATAGACTGAAATGCCAGCAATATTCAGATGACACATCGCTCTACCAATACTTCACCACATCTGACCAAAAACCCCACCACCAAGATGGCCTAGTGCTTGGATGAGATCAGCTCATGGGTGAAGAACAGCTGTCTAAAGATGAACCTGAGTAAAACTGAGGTTAGGCAGAGGAAAACATTTTGAGGAGTTGGCAGCCATGGCAGTCTCCCTTGATTGATCACATTCACAATTGGTCAATTCCGGCTGTAGTCTAGAAGTACTTTTGGATTATTTGTGGATGCTGAGCTCTTATTGCAATGGCTGTGAGTAATGCTTTCTACCATCTCCAGTTGGCTAGAAGACGCTGTCCTCAGTTATTCATGTCTTTGTCACCTCTCGGCTGGAGTACACCAGTGCACCTTGGGATGAAACTTTCAGCACCTAGGGAACTCCAACTAGTATAAAACAGTGCAGGGCATCTCCTCAGCAATACAGGCTACCATGAGCACATCACACCAATTCTCAGTTCTTTATGCTGGCTTCCCATAAAATTTCAAATTCAGTTCAGATTTTCAGTCCTTATCTTCAAAGTATCTGTAGCGTAGATTGCGTAAAATTAACTTGTCTGAAATACAGTTTTCCAGGTTATTTGTTAAACGTACACAATGTTTGCTATAAATACTATTGATTGGTATTACAGTAATGCTATTTTACATTCCCACATTGTTCTAGGTGTCACAATTACAGGGTCAGTTGCACCTTTTTCCCCTCCCCTCTGGTTTCTCCGAGTGCACCCCCTCTGGTGTCAGGCCTCTACCTTTACCTCTTGCTTGAAATCCTGTGGTTTTCCCACTCTGAAACTGGGCCCTGGGCTATTCTGTGTAACAACTGTGCTTATCCTAGCAAGTTGGATTGGCTTCAGCCCCTGCTGTGTTCTGCTGTTTTGGAGCTATGACCATTGTTCAATAGAGTGATCAACCAGCCTTCTTAAACCAAAGTATTGTTTAATTTTAAAAGTAAGAACAAACCATAACAGGAGAGAGTGTTTTGAAACAATAACAAATCTATATGCATGTCTATTTTAAATAAAGGCTGATCATCCCTCTGATGATAGCCTAAGAAGGCCTTAATTTCTTTAATCACCCTTAATCTCTGAGGTCTGTATCAGTCTGTTTCCCTTTCTCTCTATCCCTATCTCACCATCTGCTTGAAGGAGTGTCCTTTTAAGTCTAATTGGGGTCTTTGTTTTCTTGGGTTTGCAAGCTTGGACTCCCCACCCTCTTGACAAACTAGTCTGGTGAGTTTATCAGGGGTGGGAGGTAGAACATCAGAGACTGATTCTTTCATCGTCCCTTAAGTATTGGAAGGTGGGTGGCTATCTGAAGCCATTGTACTCTTTCCTGCCTACACACAGTCAGTTTCTCTTTGAATTAACCCCATATATTAATACAATAAAACCTCTTTTACAACAATGAGGCAAACATGTATAACAAATTATTACAGAGTAGCCCCACTTCCATCATAGTAGGTATGCTACAAACATATATGAGAGAGAAAAAGAACAGGAGTACTTGTGGCACCTTAGAGACAGACAAATTTATTTGAGCATAAGCTTTCGTGGGGTACAGCCCACTTCATTAGATGCATAGAATGGAACATATAGTAAGAAAATATACATAGATAGATACAGAGAACATGAAAAAGTGGAGTAAGAAGCTAATTAATTATTTGAGCTATTATCAGCAGGAGAAAAAATCTTTTGTAGTGATAATCAAAACGGCCCATTTAGACAGTTTACAAGAAGGTATGAGGATACTTAACATGGGGAAATAGATTCAATATGTGTAATGACCCAGCCACTCCCAGTCTCTATTCAAACCCAAGTTAATGGTATCTAGTTTGCATATTAATTCAAGCTCAGCAGTTTCTCTTT